TATCAGGAGAACGCGGTGGCCAGGGAACTGGACCACCCCGTCCTATCCAATGCTGGCCGTAGACAGCGTCCAGGTGATTTCTGACGCTCACTGTACATCCTCTGAGCAGCTAATTCGTTTCCTTGTGCAGCCCCATACATGAAATGCACGTCGGCAAGCTCCACATTGGTGAAACGATGCATGCTGTTTGAGATCCGTGCGGGAATCCAGCTAGTAAGCGCTCTTATACGCCGCAGTCGTCAGCGCTCCCTACCGGCTCAAGGCGGCATTACCGCACACACAATCCTATACGAAATATGCTTATTTAAGTCCCCTCTACCTACCTTTACATTTTTGACATATATTTTAAGACCACCCTGTATATTTTTAGGCTTACTGAGAATAAAATTTAACTGAGACTGCTAAAAAAATATTTATTTTAAACCCATCCGGATACCTTAACAATACATGCAATATCATTTAAAACGTGATATTTACTACAACTTTTCAATGGCTTAATAGATAACTTCAGTTTATCAATTTATTAGTTCTTGTTGAGTTTTCAATTATCAAGTTTGCAGAAATGCGCCTTTAAAGTCTCTGTATCAATATAATAATCACGTTGCTTCATATACCTCATAAAATACGAGTTTAGACACGTCACTCATACGTTGCGTAGTTACTACTTTTGATTTCATCTCCACTTTTTTTTTCATTTATACTTTCACTTATACTTTTACATGGAGAAAACCATGGACTTGATATCTGCCCTCTAATGTGTGAGAAATTGATTACTATGGCATAGAATTTTTGATAGAATGCACAGGTTGGATAGCCGGGCACTCATCCATGCATTTGAAAGAGGGTTTATGAGGGTTAAGGTCTAGGAACCCTATCTTATAGTCTTTTATGTGATACATTAGGTTACGATTCCTTTCAAATGAACGACAGCGAAGAATTGGGTGACTATTTTCTGGTAATCCATTCGTTTGCAGGGGTTTCCAACTTACATGAGACCGGGGTCCACAATTAAAAACACCAGTCAATTGACGGGCCGCAACTTTGTCAAAATTTTATATAGGACTCTTTTATGTTTGAAGGAACATTAAATATTACTGTCAGATTTTTATCAAATTGTTTAAAACAAAAGTATTGAATTACAAATAATAATAAATATTTTCTTGGATGTAAAACCTGAGAAATTAAATTTTTTTTCGCACCGTCGGTAAGTTAAATTTCACAGAAACGAAGAAATTAGTTTTTTTTTCTTCTTTTTTTTTAAGAAAAAAAAAGTATTTTAAACTTATATAGATTTTTTACGAAAATTGTCCGAGAAAATGTCAACTAATATCTTTTAGTTCGCGGGCCACAAAAAAAGCTTTACGGGCCGGATGCGGCCCACGGGTCGCCAGTTGGTAACCACTGGCTTAAAGGATTGGCCAGTCAGATCATTAGACCTGCTATCAGTTTTGCACCTACTAATTCTGCACCTACTACCTAAGTATTTAACACCTTCACCCTGGATAGAGTTTTTTTTTTTTGTGGGNAGTATTTTTTTTTTTGGGGGGGGGGGGATGTTGACAATTTCTGAGTCATCTTTACTGTACTCTATGGGATCCTAATGAATATTTTGGCTGTGCCATGCAGAAGTTATGTCGGAAACATCAAAAATCAAGACATAACCAATAGATTAAATTTATTCCAGTTTCTGCAGCTCTTTCATTATTCTCTCCATATGAGAATTACAGTCTTGAACTATATTTTCCAAAGAGGTCGCCTTTCGACGATAGGAGACCAAGTAAAAATTCCAAAACATGAGAAAAAATATAGTGGCTTTGAATAAATTAATCATGATGAGAGTTTTTGACACGTGGCATGTCGGATACACATAGAGTTGAATCATATAAACAAACACAATAATGAACTGCACCTGAAAAAAATAATATTTTACTATTTAAAAAAGAAAAGGAGACATACAAGCAGTGCTTAAAGTTAGATCTTACTCTCGTTTACCAACACATGTTCAAGTGGGCGGGTTTTATAAAACTTTAAAGCATAATTTGGTATATGGGTAATAATAAAACAAAACATTTCTGCGTCTAACAAGGGAAAGGGTGCCATCTAGACTAAAGCAAATAAAAATTTTAATAAAGCAACAATGAAAGTGCATGAATTGACTATAGTTTCAGTTCTGCAAACAAGAACCTTCCTCAGTCTCTAAACGTCTCAGTATCTAAACGTCTCTAGGGCTGTCGCGCCGCTGAGTTTTGTTTAATGCTAATCTTACTCTAACCGTATTTCACCATATCTCAAGAGCTCTTAAAGCGAATTTTAAAAAAATTTGCACACAATTAGAAAATTCGTTTATCCACAGACATTTTTAGGGAAAATATAAATTTTAGTAAATTTTACTATTTTTTGGATGAAATTATCTTCGGACAAATGAATTTTATAATTAAGAGCAAAAATCTTCCAATTCTCTTTAAAAGTTCTCGAGAAACTGCGAAATACGCAAAAAGTAAAATTGGCAATAAGGGGTTCAAACTTTGGTCCGCTCTTCTGACTGAAGTATTGGGACCCTATTTCCCAGATTACTGCCACCCCCTATATTTTGGGGGGTCAGAAATCCAAATCCGTAGGGGGAAAAAAGTATGTTTATTCAGAGAAAGTACGTTTTTGTGTCTGATTTCGTAATATAAAATAGCGTTTGAACTAATTAATTTGCATGTTTGAGGCCACCCCTACGTCATTAGGTCCGGTTTTTCGTAAATTATATTCAAAATGTACCGCACTGTAACTTTTTCAAGAGATTAAACGTATTCACCAGTCTTGAATATTTAATTACCACTGGCCAGTGATAATTTTGTGCTCCGGAATAGACTAAGCACAGAATGTGAATATATATATATATATATATATATATAGGAAACAAGGGGGAAAAGAAAAATAATAAAAAAATACAAATATTTTATAATTTTTACTTTTTATTTTTATTTATTTATTCATTTTTTTATTATTTCGTTTATAAAATAGAACGCAATAAGTGTTCTATTTTATTTGTTGCAATTTTTGTAAAAAATTATTTTTCAGTGCTCCTCACACTATTGTATTAATATATTTTGCTTTGGCTATATTGATACAATATCAGAAAGCACTCTTTTTTGCTGACATAATCGTGTGGGCTGATGAAAAGATTATATCTTTTACTTTCCGTTCTTTTTTTAAAACAATTTCATACTTTTTTTTANGAAAAAAAATATTTTTGAGTGCTCCTCACACTATTGTATTAATATATTTTGCTTTGGCTATATTGATACAATATCAGAAAGCACTCTTTTTTGCTGATATAATCGTGTGGGCTGATGAAAAGATTATATCTTTTATTTTCCTTTTTTTTTAAAAACAATTTCATACTTTTTTTTTATTTATTTTAATCAGCTGTTTTTTTTTTTTCATTATTATTTCCCTCCCCCTTTTTTTTCATATGTCTATAATTTTCTTTTGTTTTATCCTTCATTTTGAACTTATCTAATGAGTTCTGTTTACTTGCAGTTTATGCGCAATAAATGAAAGTTATTGTTTTTCTTGACTTTCTTCGTGTTTCTCGTGTTCACTTTTCTATCTGTGTAACACCAAACTGAAATTAGCAGCAAATGAAATTATAACGTAGGAGTCTAAAAACATTCTAAAACCAAAATATTTCCTCATTACTTAAGCACGCATGTTTCATTTAGTCACGCCTTCAAGTCATGCTGCTGTCTGAAAAAAAAAATGACATAAAAAACATTCTAGAGGAAAACTAGAGTATTATGTTTGATTTTCAATTTCCCCTAAGTTTAAATCACTAATTAATTTTTTCCTTGAAAACCGTCCTTCGCAAAACAATCCTTATAATAAATCAGCGAGAAATATAAGAGGAGAGTGATGTGCATTGCAGGAAGAAAAAAACCCAACACATTGAATAACTTTTGATCAAATAATCGGATTTTCACGTTCTAGAACTCATGAATCTCATTAGTTCGAGGAACTGACCTCAAATATGGCAATTAATTAGTACAGACGATACTGGTGCAAAACAGCAGAACCATGGTTAATATCGGGTTTCAGTTTTGGGAAACGTTAAAAAAAACATAATACTTAATTTAATTTAAATAATTTTGTGGATAGAATTTGAAAAAACTTACATAACTTATTAAAAAATATGCTTATAAGCATCTATTGGAAACTTAAATAAAATAAAAACTAATCAAAGTTTTATTATTAGAAAATAAAAGACATGATATTATTATTTTTTCAGGTTTTAACTTTCAAAGACGTGAAGAAAAAAACCCCGCCTAAATGGAATAATTGAGTGAACTAATTGTTATCTAATCCTTTACGATCTCAACAATACACTTTTACGCAGTTATTCGAAAATGAATGAAAATTATATATTTAGGTCAAAAATTGTGCTGGATAATTGCAACCAAGTTTTTAACTGAGGTATCAATTATTTAATTTTTTTGTTATTTTTTTAACTAAGTAAAACAATATTCGAAAATTGCACAGGCATCGCTAATATCGGATTTCAATTTTGAAAAACATTAAAAATATACAACAATTGAAATAATTTAGGGAACAGGATTGTTATCTAATCCTCTATAATCTTAACGATGCTATTCAAATACGAATAAAAATTAGATTATTAGGTCAAAAACTGTACAGGATAATTACCGCCAAGTTTTTAACTGATGTATCATTTATTTATGTTTTTAATATTCTTTAAGCAACTAAAACAATGGTCGCAAATTGCACAGGCATCGTTAATGTCAGGTTTCAATTTTGCGAAACATAAAAAATTTACAATAATTGGAATAATTGAGTTAACAAGATTGTTATCTAATCCTTTATAATCTCAACAAAACACTTTTATGCAGCTATCGAAAATGAATGAAAATTAGATTATTAGGTCAAAAATTGTACTGGATAATTACTGCCAAGTTTTTAACCGAGGTATCAATTACTTAATTTTTTTACTATTTTTTTAAGTAACTAAAACAATAGCCGAAAATTGCACAAGCATCGTAAATATCGAGTTTCAATTTTGAGAAACATTAACGAATCTATACAATAAGCGGAATAATTGAGTGAACACTATTATTATCTAATCCTTTACAATCTGAACGATACAATTTTGCGCAGCCATTCAAAAATGAATGAAAATTAGATTATTAGGTCAAAAATTTTACTGGATAATTACTGCCAAGCTTTTAACCGAGGTATAATTTATTTAATTTTTTTATTACTTTTTTAAGTAAAGCTAACAATGTTTTTTCTTAATCCCATAAATAGTATATCTTATAATCCAAGATACAAGTACAATTAATTTGGAAAACCTCATCAAAAGTGAACATAAAAAATTCATCTACATACTGATGTCACTTTTGGGCGTTCCATTGGAGAGAAAGAATCAAAACGCATTGTGTGCCAAGAACGACCGAACTTCGTGCCAATACATATCAAACACGCCCTGCTTTCACGTGCCAACGTTCTACAGAACAATGTAATGTGTGCTATAAATATATAATACCCCCTAACTGCATAATTTTCACCAATGATATGTTTCATGTAATAATTTAGCTTTCTGCGTAATAAGTCTACAAAGATATTCTTATTTAGATAAAAAGCCGAACAAAGGTGTGAAATGAATTAATTCTGTTTTAATGTCATTCCGTAATATTATCTATTCTATAATAATGTTATTGTACTTTCTAGTGATGTTGTTTAATTTTAGGAATATTAATACAATATTTTGACTTTTGCTAGAAATGTTGAGAGCACAAAATATTTACATTTAGATCAGATTTAGATAAAAAGCCAAACAAAGATGTGAAATTAATTAATTAATTCTAATAATGTTATTATAATCTATAGTATTGTAGCTTAGTTTTAGGAATATTATTAAAATATTTCAACATTTGCCAAAAAAGTTGAGAGCACAAAATATTTACATTTAGATTAGATTTAGATAAAAAGCCAAACGAAGATGTGAAATTAATTAATTCTAGTGATGTTATTATTATTTATAGTAATGTTACTTAATTTTAGGAATATTAATACATTATTTTTACCTCTGCTAGAAAGGCAGAGAGCACAAAATAGGAAACGGTTCAATCTGTATAACTTTTGATCTAATGATTGGATTTTCGCAGAACTCAATCTTATTGGTTCGAGGATCTGATCTCAAATAAGCTAATTAACTGGTAAATATAATGCTTTAAGTCAGAAATTCCCAACTGAACCCGAGAGTTCCGTAGATATTCTCCAGGGGTTCCGCGAAATTACTGCATTTTTGACAATTTAAAACTCAATTTTAGCAAATTCTAATTTTTATTCCGTTTATTCTAATCAGAATTTACTGAAGTTTGTGAAAAAACGGCATCTTAACAACTTTTTGATTAAAAATTCGTTCCGCATTTTTAGTGGCTGAAAAAACTTATATACTATCTTAATACTTACATTAAAGAACATTAAACATTAAAGGATATATACTTATTTTAAAGTATATAAAATTAGGTTATTCTAAATTAGGTTTATTTATTCTAGAACGAAATTCTTTGTTTAAAATTTAGCCACTTCTCATAAGATGGATATTTAAATGTGAATCATTTTAAGAGATGCTAAACGTCTTATAATTATGGAAATGTTATTAAATTATGATCTTTATTTATAATATAATTGGTGGAATCTGTGCATAAAATATGTAAAAAGTGATAGCGTTCCATTTTTTAAAAATGAAATTTCTCAAATTAACAATTTATTTGAAAAGGCTAAATTATATTAAACTCATCAAGAAAGAAAATATGTCTAGTTCAAAAAAAAGTTTGATCATATGTTACTTATCATATAATATTTTTATAAAATTTATGTAATATTTTTTCGGGTTCGACAAAATTCCAAGAGCAAATTGGGTTTATCGATTGAATATGTATGTTCAAAAGAACGAAATTTTTTATTGGTTTCCTCTCCCTTTAAAATTTCCACAGAAAAAAAAATAAACAAAAAGAAAATGATGTGCAAGATAATATTGTTGAACTTTCATTTCAATGCATCTGATAAAATAGGGTGACGTACAGGGCACAAGTCAGATATTTAAAATTTTGACTTCTCGGGAAGTATTCGACCGACTTCGTTCTATTTTTGTATTTTGTTATATAAATTGCGTTCTCATGAATGAAGTAAAAATTTGTATACCTTAGAATTCAAAGTTTTTTTCGGCCATTATTAAATAAAATAATAAAGAAATTAATGAACATTCATAAAAAAATTTCATGGAATTTTCTTTAGATAAAAAAAATTTGTAGGAGTGTGAAAATTTTTTAAATTCACTTAGAAAAGTTCTCGAAATACGCAAAAACTAAAATTAACATTAAGGAGTGCAAACTTTGAGCTGCTCTCCTGACCGAACTATGGGGACCATGCCTCCCAGATTGCAGTTTTTAGTTTATATTTTGGGGGGGGGGGTCAGAAATTCATCGAAAAAATGTATGTTTTTTCAGAGAAAGTATACGTTTTTGTGTCTGATTTCGTAACTTAAAATTTTTAGAATAAATGTCGTCTGCACTACTTAGCATATTTGACCTAACCGTTTCGAACCATTACGATTGAGTCCTAATTCGTGAAAATGCGATCATTATTTGGCCGGGATAGCCTGGTCGGTAGGGCGCTAGGCCCATGTCCGATAGTTCGTGGGTTCGAACCCATCCGGCCAAAGACTCCCCGTGTAGTAAATGGAGACTGATGCACTTTAAATTTGTCGAGTCCCAAAGTCCTCCATGTTCCCATAACAAATCAATACCTCTGGGGGTACTGGAGACCGATCGTTCTCTGATCTAGGTCAAAAATTACGATCTGTGGATGAATGAATGGGTCCGCCCTATAAACGGGTGTGACGTGTGCGTGGCTGAAAGCGAATTCTTGGCCGTAGATGACGCCACTGACAAACAAGAAGCGCACCCTCTGCCTTAAATTTGCTCGGTTTCACCAAGCAGGCTTGCTAGTGTGGCAAGTGGCATTAGAAGCAACAACAACGATCATTACATTAAAAGCTATCCGGAATTCTTTCTTTTTTTACTTTCTCCCTCTTTTTACGTTTTTTGTGGAAAAAAAAAACTACAACTTACCATTTGTAACTTTGTCAAGTATTTCTTCCACCATAAATACTTCTGAAGTGAGGGTCCGAAAGCGGCTAACCCATAATATAAATACATCCAAACATGCACAAATGAATTCAACAAAGGAAAAATGGTGTTGTATCCTCCTGAAATAACATTTAACAAATGACATTATTAACAACAAAAAAAAAGAAAATATTTTACTATAGAGAGAAACTCTAAGTAAACTTTAAAAAGATAGAGTACACTCAAGATCAAAAATTGCACATATTGTAAAAATTTTTATTCTAAAATTATGGTAAAATAACTGACACCTGTCTGTCCATCCGATTAACCTTAAAGTTTATGGTAAAGAGCATTTGCTTCCTTCATGGTTTTGAAACCATTTACAAAGAGTATGGTTATAAAACCATGAATACAAAACTATACGGTTTTTTAACCATTCACAACTACCATTTTTTCAAAACGTAAATAAAAATTTCATTATTTAACTAAACATAGGAGCTCGGCTTTTCGTAAAGTAATGAGATTTGGCGAGTGCCGGACACTGGAAATTCTTCATGTGAAGGGAATGTAGAAAATATTGTAGTGTGAACACTAGGACTCGAACTCCAGTTCTGCCGATCATATGAGATTGACAGATAAGCCTGCTAAGCTATGATATGTACTCAGTTGCAAAGAACTGAGTAGCTTTATTAGGTGGTCCTAGTTGGTGCGATAAAATTCTGGTTGTTTAACGGTATTAGGTGAAAGCAGTTAATAAACAGTTTTTCTCAAACTTAACAGTTTCATTATCATTTTATTTCTCGTTATTTGACTGTTTTGATTAAATATGGTAAAATAACCATTCAATAAATTGTTATTTAACCATTTTTTTCGAGAAATTTCTAACAGTGCAGAATTACGTGTAACACAGGTTCATTAAATTTCCCTACAGCTTAATCCACAGGAATCCTGCACTTTAAACAATATTTCAGCATTTGAAACTCCATTGTTTACTATACGTTTACCTAAACTCATTTTTCTCTAAACTTTAAATTACTTTTGAACCTTGTATCTGAATTTAGAATGAATCTGCAGTCAGCCAGTCGTAATGGTTTGGCCTGGGTGCCTGAGGCCGAAGCGGCCCTTTAACCATTCTTCATGAAATACAAGGACATGAGGTAAAATCTAGAGGTGACATAACGAAGTGAAATTTGGAAGAAATAAGCACATTGCTCAGTTAAGTTTAAAGGACAAAAAGAAAATCCAAAAGAGCATGGAATGGGTGACAGAGAAGAAAGAGTTTTGTGTAGTCAACAATACTGTACTTGGTACAATACTGTGCCGCTGTACTTGGCAGGAAGAAAACATCTCGCTTTTTAGATAGATACTTTTCGCAATGAGGTAGTCAACACCACCAGAAATCCACTACTAGCTTAACCTATCGACCGACAGCAAAACTTATATTCAATATGTAAAGCTGCGGTTAATATCATTTAAAATTTGTTTTGTGAATTAAAATTTCTAAAAAAAATGTTTCGAAATATTCTTTATGCCTGGACCATGTATATTTCATTTATTTATTTATTTTATTTAATAAACGGACACGAAGCTTTAATTTATTTACTTATTTATTCGTGAAAAACCTTTAAAATATTTTCTTAGAAGTAAATTAAAATTGTTAGCTATTTTTATTGAAAATTATTTAAGAAATTAAAGTTAAAATTAAAAATTTAACTAAAAGAATGTTTAATTTTAAATGAATTTCAATACTTAAAATGACTTTTAACTCTTAAACATTTAATCTCACTAAATTCTCTTACATTTTATATACAAGGCTTCACTGCTGACCCCTACTTGGGATAACTGCTACGGACAAACGGGTTCTAACGTAAACAGTTTGACAGCGAGGACTGCCGAATACCGCCACAGAAATCACGCTTTTTGGTCAATCCGTTACAACAATGCCTGTTTACATAGTGTGTTCATTTTATTAGGGTTAGAAGCATCTTGAATTTTTGCCATAAAAAAATTTGATCAGTTTACGACTTCCAGAAGACCGCGCGAAGGAGGAAGGAATCATAACGGCAGTATGATTTCCCCAGCAACAATTTAACGTTGGCCCCAGTTGGGCGAATAATTGACTCAATATAGTCCTGTATGAACATGCACCGAGAGACCAACATTGAATGAGTCTAGATTTTTTAATATTGGTACTATGAGCCGCGGTGGCTCAGGAGTTAGAGCGTTCGCCTTCCAATGAGGCGAACCGGGTTCGAATCCCAGTCGATACGATCCGGCTTGCACCGATCACAGTGCTGACCTGAAATATCCTCTGTGGTAGACGGATCATGGGTTAGAGTCCCCTTGCCGTCAGACTAACCGTGGGAGGTTCTCGTGGTCTTCCTCTCCATGTAACGCAAATGCTGGTTAGCTCCATCAAAAAGTCCTCCACGAAGGCATATTTCTCCCAATACTCGATCCAGAAGTTCCCTTGTCCTCTGGATTGGGTTCAAAATTACAAAACTTCGGAGTTGAACATTAGTTGTCGTAAACCCATAAAATTGGGTCTGCTGTTCAACGACGGTTAAAAAATAAAATAAAATATTGGTCCTATAGAGGGCCACTATCAGCTTATATAGAGTCAATATGAGGCCGATATTGGCTGAATAATAAAATATTGGCTGAATATAAAATATGGAATGAATCTGACAATTCTATATAGGGCCGATATTGGCTATAAAATGGCTGTGAACTTTCGGGTGAATCGGAAATTTCTTTATAGGGATAATATGGGTGAAATAACGGTCATTTGAACCCTTATTGAGCAAGGATTCGTGAATATTGGACCAGTGACGGCCCGAGTTGTTTTTCTCCTAAAGGTGGACGGTAAAAAGCTTGACTGGTGTTCAGAACTTATCGTATAGTCTGTTTAAGCTAAGAAATCCTCCCGCCACCAAGTCTGAGGCCGTCTGGTGCTATGGAAACAAGACTGGCGCATTTTAGAGAGGGCAGCTTCACTGAAGGACTAACACAATAGACCACTCCAAAACAGTAGCCCCGCACCCCTAATTGAAATAGTCTTACCTCGTTACCATAGCCACCACCACAAGTCCAGACGAATGTATGGAGTTCTTATTTTAGACAAACCATACATGACCTGCGAGGAAGTGACCTGACAAGGTGTCTAAAAGTCTCGAATTAGTGAATCTGCAGCACAATCCTCACAAACCTAAATTCACCTGTGTCCTCAACGCCCTCTGACAGATAATTTCAGCTTAAACTAAAAGACACGTAGCAAAGTTTTCCAATATAAGGCCCTTAAAAGTTGTACACAAAAATTTTTGTTAAGCTTATGTTGAATTTTACAAAGTGTAAAAATGGAATAAATCACGTTAGAGTAAAGTGTGTAATCAAGTAATAGATAGATTTGTTTTTAATTTTTATTCTTTGAGGTCTTCATTCAATTTCAGCTCTTTTAATTTTCATTAGAAACAACACTGTAAAATATTTCAAAAACTAATTTTGACTCAACAGAAATGTTTCTGGAAATCTCAGCGAACTTCATTTAATATCACGTTTTCTCGATCAATTGAGAAACATTTATTTCCAAACTTAGGAAACTGAATCGTTGAATTGAATTGAATTGAATTGAATTGAATGTAAGATTTAATGGCACAAGGTCCAGAGAGGACATGCTGCGCGAAACTGAATCGTATTGACACCAATTCAATTTCAGAGTGAATCGTAGCTACCACTACAACTATTAAATTTCAATTCACCAGTATATAAGACATGTTTTTTGTATCTTGAGATACCCTTAGATCGATGACATTGGGCATAGTAGATATGCGGGTAACAACAAGAGGTTTCCGAGATATTTAAAAACGGTTCAAAACATTAAAAACAATAATTACAAAACGATTGGAAATGACATGAAATATTTCTGAAATACTGCCGAAATGTTTCTGGGCATTAATTACAGAAACAGGTTTCCATAAACGCTTTTGAATGCACCGTAGCTGCCCATAAATTCAGGAAAGTTTCGGGATAATTTTTACAGTGAAGTAAATTAAGAGATGTTTTAAAAAGGATTCTTTCCCACACACACAGTTATTTTTTCTTCATTTAGATGTTCGCTTTAAAAAAAATCTGCAGATGCTGTAATAATATGCTGACATGCTGGATGGTTTCTGCTACAGGGCTTATGCAGGTGAGAGAGAATTTGCCATGACTGATTTACCCCTCAGTATAGCGTCCACGAAACACTTGTGAACTGGGTGAATTTAACATTTTTGAAAAATAACTCTCTTTTTTACTGCGATAGATTTTCAAGAAAGAAGTAATCCTTTTTCTTTTCCTTTTCAGAATTTTGGTCAGGGACACTAAAGCTTCTAATGCTCCGGAGCTATGCTTTTCCTTGAGTTTGAGCTCTCAATTTTCCATGCTACAAAATTATTTCAGTATTTGAACAATCATTTAAATATTTTTTTCAGTCTCCTAAACTTTTCAGGTGTAGAATAAAATAATGAAATATTTTATGCGCTTTTAGTTTCTGACTGATTCTACCAATAGAAATAATTATTACAGATACAGATAATTATTATACTCTTTTGTCGTTAATTATGGGTTATGCAGCCTATCTCCCCAACCCCAATCTAATATCAAATAATTGTGGCTTACTAATCATATTATCGTGTGAGTAATGTTATGCAATTTCGTGAAAATGAGTAAACAATCTGCAGTCCTAAAAATTTTGGGTCTACAGATGGTGTTATAATCGCTAAATGAAGATAAGGTACAAATTGTTTTAATCAGAGGTATCTCGAAAATTTCAAGTCAGGGCGAAAATATTAAAAGACGCATGTTTGATATATTGAAAAAGCCTGTCTAATCATATTAAACTCAAAATAAGCAAATAAATTAGTGAAGGCGATATTTAAAGTTACGAAATCAAACGAGCTATCATATCACAATAATTAATTTCAATCATTTCTGAAAAAAGTAAAACGAAGAATGAATTGCAAACCCAATGAAGTGGAAATTTTAATAATAGTAATAATGATTTAAAGAACTTCCTCTTCGTCAGCGCAACAGTCCTTTGCAGACCTTGGCTGCCTCAACAGCTGACAAACGCCAGCTCCATCTATCCATGGCAACTCCCTTCCAATTTCTAATCTTTAGGGTTTTCAAATCATTTTCGATGTCGTTCAGCCATCTATTAGGGGGTCTGCCTCAGGGACGTGGCCCCTATGAGTTCTTAAAGGTGACTATTCTCATGGCTTTCAAGAACGGCATTTTTAATGAAAGAGAACAAAAAAAATCTGAAAAAAGGATTTTAAATCCCAAAAATTTCATATTAACATGAATCAAAGAAAGTGGTAAAAAATTAAAGGTACATTTTTACACGGTCTTAAGAAAACTGAAGTTTTAATCACAAATATCAATTTAAATAGATGATTGAAATTCTTTTCCTGTATGAAAAACCAATATGTAAGTTTAAATGATGATTACCTGCTCCATATTTAATGCCAATCCATACTGTTATAGGAACTAACGAATGATGAAACACGTGGAGCACACTAATATGAGAGTTCTTCTTTCTGAGTACAAAAAATACCTGCAAATTATTATCGAAACTGTTAAACATGTTAATACAAAAACCAATTCCTTAACTATTACTCACTTAATTATCATAAAATTAAATTTAATATTTAAAATAAGATGTAGCACATACGATATCAATTTTGTTAAACAACCTCTAAATGAGTAACCCATATTTTCCAAAATATAATTAAATAATAAAAATAAGCACACCACAATTTCTTTATGCTTCTAAAAATATTTATACGATGGAATCTTGAACATTTTCTGAATGAAATATTTTTTTTTAGATTTTTTATTTCACATTTACNTTTTTTTTTTTTTTTTTTTTTTTTTTTTTTTTTTTTTTTTTTTTTTTTTTTTTTTTTTTTTTTTTTTTTTTTTTTTTTTTTTTTTTTTTTTTACTTTGTTACATAAATTGCATTATTTTAAATGATGTAAAAATTTGCATACCTTACGATTCATAGTTTTTTTCGGCCATTATTAAATAAAATAATAAAACAATTAATAAACATTCATAAAAAATTAAAAAATTTCATGGAATTTTCTTTCGATAAAAAAAAAAATTTGTAACGGTGTGAAAATTTTTTCAATTCACTTAAAAAGTTCTCGAAATACGCAAAAAGTAAAATTAACATTAAGGAGTGCAAACTTTGAGCTGCTCTCCTGACCGAACTATGGGGACCATGCCTCCCAGATTGCAGTTTTTAGTTTATATTTTGGGGGGGGGGGTCAGAAATTCATCGAAAAAATTAATGTTTTTTCAGAGAAAGTATACGTTTTTGTGTCTGATTCCGTAACTTAAAATTTTTAGAATAAATGTCGTCTGCACTACTTAGCATATTTGACCTTACCGTTTTGAACCATTACGATTCAGTCCTAATTCGTGAAAATGCGATCATTATTTGGCCGGGATAGCCTGGTCGGTAGGGCGCTAGGCCCATGTCCGAAAGTTCGTGGGTTCGAACCCCGCCGGCCGAAGACTCCCTATGTAGTAAATGGTGACTGATGCACGTTAAATCTGTCGAGTCGCAAAGTCCTCCATGTTCCCATAACAAATCAATACCTCTGGGAGTACTGGATTGGAGACCGATCGTTCTCTGATCCAGGTCAAAAATTACGATCTGTGGATGAATGAATGGATGTATGAATGGATCCGCCCTATAAACGGGTGTGACGTGTGCGTGGCTGAAAGCTAATTCTTGGCCGTAGATGGCGCCACTAAAAACAAGAAGCGCACCCTCTGCCTTAAATTTGCTCGGTTTCGCCAAGCAGGCTTGCTGTGTGGCAAGTGGCATTAGAAACAACAACAACAATCATTACATTAAAAGCTATCCAGAATTCTTTCTTTTTTTACTTTCTCCCTCTTTTTACCTTTTTTGTTAAAAAAAACTACAACTTACCATTTGTAACTTTGTCAAGTATTTCTTCCACCATAAATACTTCTGAAGTGAGGGTCCGAAAGCGGCTAACCCATAATATAAATACATCCAAACATGCACAAATGAATTCAACAAAGGAAAGATTGTGTTGTATCCTCCTGAAATAATATTTAACAATCAATAACATAATGAATTAAAGAAAAAGAGAATCTTTTACTATAGAGAGAAATTCTTAGAAAATTTAAGAAAATAGAGTACACTCAAGATCAAAATTTGTACACACTGTTAAAATTTTCATTCTAAAATTATGGTAAAATAACTGGCACCTGTCTGTCCATCCGATTAACCGTAAAGTTTACGGTAAAGAACATTTTTTTCCTCTTATCGTTTTGAAACCATTTATGAAAAGTATGGTTACAAAACCACGAATACTATACGGTTTTTTAACCATTCCCAACTAGCATTTTTTCAAAACGTAAATAAAAATTTAATTATTTAACTAGACATAGAAGCTCGGCTTTTCGTAAAGTAATGGGCATTGGAGAGTGTCGGACACTGGAAATTCTTCATGTGAAGGGAATGGAGAAAACATTGTAGTGTGAACACTAGGACTAGAACTCCAGTTCTGCCGATATTATGAGATTGACAGATAAGCCCGCTCGGCTATGATATATACGCAGTTGCAAAGAACTAAGTAGCTTTATTATGTGGTTCTAGTTGTTGCGATAAAATTCTGGTTGTTTAACCGTATTAGGTAAAAGCAGTTAATAAACAATTTTTCTCAAACTTTACAGTTTGATTACCATTTCATTTCTGGTTATTGGACTGTTTCGATTAAGTATGGTAAAATAACCATTCAATAAATTGTTATTTAACCATTTTTCACCGATGAATATCTAACAATGCAGAATTACGTGAAACACAGGGCCACTAAATTTTCCTACAGCGTAATCCACAGGAATCCTGCCATAAACTACATATTTGCACTTTAAACAATATTTCAGTATTTGACACTCCATGGTTTACTATAAGTTTACCTGAATTCACTTTAAGTTTTAAATTGGTTTTGAACCTTGTACCTGAATTTAGAATGAATCTGCAGTCAGCCAGTCATAATGGTTTGGCCTGGGTGCCTGAGGCGGAAGTGACCCTTTATCCATTCTTCATGAAATACAAGGACATGAGGTGACATAAAGAAGTGAAATTTGGAAGAAATAAGCACATTGCTCAGTAAAGTCTAAAGGATAGAAAGAAAATCTAGAAAAGCATGGGATGGGTGGCAGAGGAGAAAGAGTTTTGAGTAGTCAACAATACTGTGCTTGGTACAATACTGTACAGCTATACTTTGCTAGAAGAAAACATCTCGCTTTTTCCGGAGCTGTGCCTTACCGGAGTTTGAGCTCTCAATTTTTTCATGCTTCAAAACTATTTCAGTTTTTGAACAATCATTTAAAAAAAATTTCAGTCTTCTAAACTTTTCCGGCGTAGAATAAAATAATGAAATATTTTATGTGCTTTTAGTTTCTGATAATGATTCTACAAATGCAGATCATTTGAGTCTGGCTCTTTTGTCGTTAATTATGGGTTATGGAGCGTTTCATTTTTTTCAATCTAATATCAAATAATTATGGCTTACTAATCATACTATCGTGTGAGTAATATTATACAATTTTGTAAAAATGAGTAAACAATCTGCAGACCCAAAAAATTTCGGGTCTACAGATGGTGTTATAATTCTCCAAATGAAGATAAGGTACAAATTGTTTTAATTGGAGGTAGCTCGAAAATTTCAAGCCAGAACGAAAATATTAAAAGACACGTGTTTGTTATCTTGAGAAAGCCTGTTTAATCATACTAAACTCAAAATAAGCAAATAAATTAGTGATAGCCATATTTAAAGTTACGAAATCAGACGAACTATTTTATCACAATAATTAATTTCAATCATTTCTGAAAAAAGTAAAACGAAGAATGAATTGGAAACCCAATGAAGTGGAAATTTTTACAATAGTAATAATAATTTAAAGAACTTCTTCTTCGTCAGCGCAACAGCCCCTTGCAGATCTTGGCTGCCTCAACAGCTGACAAACGCCAGCTCCATCTATCCATGGCAACTCTCTTCCAATTTCTAATCTTTAGGGTTTTCAAATCATTTTCGATGTAGTTGAGCCATCTATTAGGGGGTCTGCCTCAGGTACGTGGCCCCTATGAGTTCTTAAAGGTGACTATTCTCGTGGCTTTCAAGAACGGCATTTTTAATAAAAGAGAACAAAAAAAAATCTAAAAAAAGTATTTTAAATCCCAAAAATTTCATATTAACATGAATCAAAGAAAGTAGTAAAAATTTAAAGGTAAATTTTTACACGGTTTTAGGAAAACTGAAGTTTTAATCACAAATATCAATTTAAATAGAGGATTGAAATTCTTTTCCTGTATGAAAAACCAATATGTAAGTTTAAATGATGATTACCTGCTCCATATTTAATGCCAATCCATACTGTTATAGGAACTAACGAATGATGAAACACGTGGAGCACACTAATATGAGAGTTCTTCTTTCTGAGTACAAAAAATACCTGCAAATTATTATCGAAACTGTTAAACATGTTAATACAAAAACCAATTCCTTAACTATTACTCACTTAATTATCATAAAATTAAATTTAATATTTAAAATAAGATGTAGCACATACGATATCAATTTTGTTAAACAACCTCTAAATGAGTAACCCATATTTTCCAAAATATAAATAAATAATAAAAATAAGCACACCACAATTTCTTTATGCTTCTAAAAATATTTATACGATGGAATCTTGAACATTTTCTGAATGAAATATTTTTTTTTAGATTTTTTATTTCACATTTACTGTTTTAGTAGCGAATATTTCCTTTTTCATGTTTTTCAAGTTTCTAGTTTTTGGGCAACAAACCAAAGCATGGCGGGAAGCAAGCCAGCTGAGAAAAATTTGCAAATAAAGCATTTAAAATTTAAATAACTATCGAATAAATTGGAATTTAAAGAAAAAAGCTCGTGTTACGAAAATCGCCGTATCTGCATGTCAAATTTCAATTCTATAGTTGCATTCTTGCTGTGAATTGAGCAGCTGACAGCGGGGTATTTTTTCCCGCAAGTTTAACAATTTACTAGGAGGCTTCGCTCCCTGCTCACTGGCGCTCGCCAATCCCCGGAACTGCTTTCGCAGTTCATTTCAGATTGCTTCGCAATCCGATGCTCGCTTTGCTCGCTCATTGGATACGTTCTTAACGTCTAGCTTTTGTATACTTTTTTGAACACTGAAGTTCCGAAAACTTTTCACTGTTGAAAATTCTAAACCTGTGCATTTCAATATTAATTTGAAATTGCAAACAGTTCACATATTTTTCTTAATCACACTATTCTAAATTTCAGTTGTTGAGAAAAGTAACTGTTGTAAGTTTTGTTTTAAAGTCTTTCCCACCAGAAGGCTAAAACCATGTGTTGTAAACAATATGAAATAGTACTGAACGCCTGATGTAAAGCATTGGCTTCGATGAAGATAATTTTGTGAGAATTGTTTTGATAATTCGGTGAGAATTCACCCGATTAGACATATGATGCTCACTACGTGCTCTTGCGCGCCGAAGCCTATCAATTAAAAATGAAAACTGTTGCCAACGCGAGAAAAGAAATATCATCGGTTTTATTGATACATACGTATTAGCGTTTTATATAATATAAATCATTTTTGAGCAAAATATCGAAAATAAAATTTTTTTATTTTATCTATTTTTAATAAATGTAAATTTTATTTTATTTTATTATTTTTATTAATTTTTTTGTATTTTTTTGCGCAAGAGAATAAAATGAAATATTAAGTGCACCCAAAATAATTGCGGAGACACTTATGATTTTTTTTTATACCGAGACATGCGAAAAATTCTGTTATTTTTTTCTTATGTACTCTAATATATGACGAAACCATTATCGAACTAATACTCCGTCAATGTATAGATAAAAGTTCATAAGAGAATCTGCCATTCAGATGAAATTAAACTATAAATTCTGTGATTTTTTTTTCCTTTCAAAATTGAAATTTACTTTTCATTTTCCCATTGCTGCTAAGAAACAATTTCCCTGAACTCCGTATACAGGAATTTAATTTCTAGTACAAAATTTTAAAAAATGGTGTTAAAATTATTTGAAATAATTAATAATAGACAAATTAATTTAATTGCAAAATAATTCCCTTAAATCATCCTATTTCCCCCCAAAATAGGGAGAAGCGTGCAGAGGAATGTTGGGAAGTTTTCAAAAATCACTAATAATGGCATAACAAGGCTTTCTATGACAAAAAACTTTGGGTAGTAAATTCTGGATTTATATTTATTTAATAATTACTCCCCGATACCACTTAGAACAATTTGAAATCTTTTTACACATTTTCAAGCAGTTTCAATTGAGTAAAAACCGGCATTTTCGAGGTTTTCATCAGAGAAAGCGTTTTTTTTTTCACATTGGCAAAATGGGTCTTGGTTTAGATTTGATGGCGTGCACACACTTTTCAGCTGTGTTCAAAAGTAATAGTAAACAGTGCGCATGCGTAGTCATTGCAAGCGTTGCTATGGCGACCACTGCTGTTTTTCTTTTTATTTTCGCTAACAGGCATTTTTAATGTATTTACATAATAATAATTTCAAGTATTTTTACATTCTTTTTATTATTTTATTAACGTATAATGACTGGCTTGACGGTGATTTCAATATAAATAGGAAAACTGAAGAAGGAGAAGTATTTTGTGACGTCTTGAAACACGTACATAGGCAGGATGTGAAAACCAATCCGATGACAAACATCAATTGAGACAGTTTTTGCAACCCATGATATTGAAATGTTTAACTGAGTCAATCCAGAAAGAAAAAAACATTTGACCAATGGGTATCCAGTGACCGTAATAAGACGATCACAACTTTTTTAGTTAACTTCACGTCGATGCAATATAGTACTGCCGTGCAAAAAAACACTAGACACTTTTTTAGAAGACATTTTACATTTTGTGTTGCGCGGAATTTGCAACACATCAACAATTTAAAAATCGAAGTTAAAAATTCAAATAAAAACTTGAAATTATTCAAAGCGAAAGCTTTCACTTACAGTGTCTAAGAATTCCAGAAACTTGACAAGGAAACATATCCAACACACTTCAGCAATCTATGGTAAAAACAATAAATAAAATAAGACTTTTTTCATAATATTTTAATTCAAATATATTATTATTGCAAAAATATGTTAATCAGCTTTTATTTTTATGGGTTTATTCAAAATAAAATAATTGCATTTATGCTTATTAAATTAAAATGCTCTCATATGCAAAATTTAAGGAACAAACACATTTTTTGCTAAAAACTCAAGATATTGTGAACCAAGTCAAGTGAATGAATAAACATATGTCAAAAACGATAATAACTAAAACTTAATTGCACGAACTCAAGATCATCAGTTCATGACCTCAAAGTAACATTGTTAAAAATTGATGTAATAAAATTAAACTAGTTTAGGGGCATTATGACAATACTGCCCTGTAATTGAAAAAATCAACGTAGGGGCAAAAAATTCAAAATTGAGATTTTTGCATATTTGATATCCTCATATTATAAGCTACATATGACAACAAAAAAAGTCATGAATAAATGTTGCTTTCTTTTTTTTATTTTCTATTTTAGCGTTCATTCATTAGCAATCGAAGGAGAGAAGATGTCAAGCCACTTTTCTCGGAATCAATCGTAAAGCACTTACGTTGTTTTTCGAGTTTTTTTCCACGTTGTTACGCACGGCAGAATACAAGTCCTATAAGTAACTTTCAGATTTACGTTTCGGTTAAATTGTCCATAATTTTAAAATTGTGTTATATCTCTTAGACTCTTAGAATACTATGTAACCATAATTTGATAAAATATGTGAAATAAATGAGAAAATAGCAATTTTCATAGCTATTAATTTTTTTTAAAAAAGCTTTACAACTCTTTAACCCTCTGAGCGTTAGTTACTACTTTTTCCGAACTTTGAGCTGCAAGCTTTGTTGCTTCAAAAAACCAGTTTCCTCTTTGCTATTCAATAATGTAATTCAGCGGTGAACTAATTATCCAGAAGGTAAACTTTATTAAATTTTATAACCGCCGTTGAGCAGACGACCCAATTTTGAGTTTACAACTACCGATGTTCACCACTATAGCCCTGTAATTTTGGACCCTATCCAGAAGACAAGCGAACTCCTGGATCAAGTATTGGGAGAAGTTTGCTTTCGGGGGGGGAGAGAGACATTTTGATGGAACTAACCAGCATTTGCGTTACATAGAGAGGAAAACCACGAAGACCTCCCATAGTTAGGTTAATGGCAAGAGGACTCTGTCCCATGATCCGTCTACCACTGAGGATATTTTACCAATGAGGATGCAGAATTTGAATCGACCAACCGTCGCTGGGATTCAAACCCGGTTCACCTCATTGGGAGGCGAGCACTCCATCCCCTGAACCACCACGGCCCCCCTCAATAAGTGTATTCTAAATGTTTTAACAGTAGAAGTGGCTAATAAATAAAAAAGAAATTGTTGTTAAAAAGTTTATAAAGATGTAACTTACCCTTACAGCTTCGTATCTGTTTGAATAATCAATAGACTCACATCTCCAATTATATTTCGTAAACCAACCTAATCTACCTAACTGAAATGTTTTTAAAAAAAAACAGTTGTTAAAGCATTACGCAACACAACTCATGCATTAGCAAAAGGTACACCGAAAAGATACATCGAAAAAGGTCAGTTTTAGCATTATTGTTATACACTATCTACCAATAAGTATTTGGACACCTATGAAAATGACTATATCTGTAGTCTTGAGATACGCCGCCGCGCCCTCCGCCGTTATACATCGTGTAGGGCAGTGGTGCGCAAACTTTTTTCGACCGCGACCCCTTTTGTAGAGAGAAAATTTTTGGCGACCCCTAGAGATAAATGTTCACAAATACGATGTATATTTCGAGCATTTCTTTCGTTTCATCGAATAAAAACATCATCATATTTTACTCATATTAATTTTATTTATAATTTTAAGAAAATACTTTTTGTATAACACAAAAATCAGTAAATTGCCCTTTAATGAGATGTATGTGGCTGCAAGTTTCTAATTATCTCATCGATGTTTGGATGTATGTTGCTAATTGCAATTCGCATATCATCTTCAGGTTTTAAACGCGAGTGGTATTTAGTTTTTATTGAAACTAGTTTGCTAAATCCAGTTTCACATAAATACGTTGATGCAAATTGTATTAACACTCTGATGGCATTCTTGCATA